TTTTCATTGTTCCTTGTATTTTTTTTACCCTGTTTTAGTTAGATATATTATCGCATTCATTATCCAACATTGCAATGCTTTCCAGATGAAAGTCCAAGCATACTTTTTTTTCTTTTCTTTGAATGTATCATATATGTTTTACCATAGCATGCAAAAAGAAAAGTATACACAATACAACAATTGGAATATTGTTAACTGTGATTTTTCAGTATTGTTGGCAATAACTAGAGCTCCCATCATTAACCGTACGTAGAATTGATAGCATACACCATCAAATCAAAAGTTTCCGCGTTATCCAGTCGTGAGGATCCTTCGGTCATTTAAGGAATTTTTTTATCTTATTTTTCTGTAGACTCAGCTTTGTCTTTTTACTACCGTGTATTGTCAAGCTTGGTGTCTCATAATTGTTTCCTAATAACTGAATGTACAATGTTGTAGCAAACTGAAGCAGCTGACCCCGCTTGTTTACCTTCAATTTTTAATGGCGGCAAACCTCGTGACACATTGGATCGGCATAGGCGAATAAAATCACCCTAGGACCAATTACGGGAATTACAGTCTGAGGCAATTATGTTATTTGTTTGTATGATAGTGTTTTGAAATTGTTTGCAATGAATTGGGGGTTTATTTAACCGGAAACCTCATTATTTAACATGAAATTTGACAGCAAAATTAATGGAATTTTTATGAATAATCAGAATATTGATCTCTTTTTTTAAATAAATAAAGTACTGAGATTGGAAAGCATGTTGATATACCAGTAAAGACCAAAATTAAATCATGAAAAATATATATTACACATAATAATTATAGAAACAAACAAATTAGAATCTACAATCACTAACTCTCTCCTCATGTACACTATGAAAGGTGTCACCTCTTCTCAGTTCCCATGGAACTTCCTTAGAAGAAAGTAAATATTTTCACAAATGTACCCAATGCTATCAAGTAGTACCCACTTTGTGAAGATCAAACTCACACTCTTCCATGTCTATTCTGGCATAAACTACCTACATACACATAATTTCACCCATTGTTTCCCAATATTGATTCCTCGGTGTTGCAATCCTGGAGTCGGTTTCAAAAAAAAACTTACGACTAAGATTGATCGTAAGTATAAGAAATATTCTTGATCTTAAATTTTTTGTTGTCTTCCTGTTCCTGTTAACCTGGTCTTTTGAAGTAAATATTTTTACTAAATCTATCTTGCATGTTACATCTCTTTCATGAATAACAAAATTTCACAGACTTACCATGTATACTTCCCTTTTATGCTCCTTCTTCTTCTTAATAACAAATGTTAATTAAACATTACGCTTACAAAGATAACTTAGTGTAGGAATATAACTTCTAAATAAAGGTACACAATAATTTTAAATGTTTCAAATCAGATATATAAATTTCTGAAAATACATAAAAGTATTTTATAAACAAATTATGAATAGAATAATCTATCAAATTTAACCAATTGTCTGACAATCTGCCATTACATGAAATATTCATTAATAAATATGAAATTTGGCGATGAATAAGGGAGATTTCACCACATATAGGACTACTATAGTATTCAATTCATTTCTATTACCTTGAAATCACTCTAATTGTGTCAATTCAACTTGGTTTTAACTTGAATTTAAAAAAAGAGAGACAGCTAGGATGTGTATAAAATAGTTTTTTTTTTGCCAATTAATATACTAATTAAAGTTTGAATTGTTTTTTTTTAAACTAATCCATACTTCCTGCACAAAAGTATGGCATTACGGTACATGTGCACTGACAAATTGTGTTCTTAGTTGATTTAACCAATGTAATTATCTAACTTTCTTTCATTTTGGGTGCTTTTTCGCGGGAAAATCGCTTAAAAACGTTAGATGCTTGTCATTTTGAAATTCTTTAGAATACGATTTGCTTGGCCTGTTTGTTCTGTCATGAAGCACGATGACCCGTAATGAAATGTAAACAAAGCAATGGAGGCCGGAAGAGGGGTTTTCTGAAGTTCTGAATGTTTTTTATGCATTCGAAAGTCAGGTTTGAAATGACCATTAGAAAATCTAAATTGTTGTACAATTCTTCACAATTATAATGAAAACATATCTTTAGAAATCTCACTTTATTTAGAATTGTAGAAAAAGCTTATTCTCGGCACTAATTGTATTAGCGTAGTGCGTCAATGCGGTGTTTACTCACGTGATAAGTACAATAACAAAGTCCGACCGAACTGACATTATGACCAATTACAGACATCGGTAGGATACATGACATTTTTCAATAATTATACATTAAGAAAATATGCTTTGGAAACATTAGCGTTGTATTTCCTCTTATGAAAATCGTGTGACATTGTCTTAATTCATAATTATATTGTACAGATAACTGTCCTTAAAATAATTTGTTGGTTGTAGATCTTTGATAGATTATGTTAATTTTATTCACATTGACAACTGTTTTAAACTTTGGATAATTTAGAGCTTGACAAATCTCGTTTGCAAATGTTAACTGTACGACAATCTCTAGATATCATTTGCCAATAAGTCATGCTTTTTTGTGTCGCAGTTTCCTGTCTTATTTTCTCTACCCTTCTCTTATTTCACAAATAATATATATCAATGCAATCGGAAAACAACTGACAAAATATAAATATTATTCTTGCAAATAAAAATCGTCAATGTACGGCAAGCTACGCGAAAGGACTCTATTAGCTACAAGTTAGCTAAAAAACCTGATGGTAAAATTGTAAATTGAACACAACGTACAATAAAATCATAGTTATCACCATCCAATATATATATACATCAAAGGAGGGGCATTATAACATATACACAGCAAACGAAGGGAGGTTGTAAAGTAAACTTGCGAAAAGCACTCATACATTGTAAGATCTTTGAATATTGTTTTCATTGGCACTAACATCGATTTTGTCATCAACAAATTAAAACATAACTAAATGTGTATTCTTTTCGAATGGTTTTTTGTGATGTATATATACACATCCACGTTTATTTTCTATTTAGAAATTGTTTTATCTATACATAACATCATACATATTTATTATAAGGTTAAATCCTAACTATCCTACTGCCTGTCGTTACTTTTATTTTTGCATTGCACAAGTCATGTCGTCTTTGACTCTCCATGGCGTTAACACACTAAATCCCTGCCTTGGATGTGTTTTAATTGATTTTAGTCTCTGATGCATGTTTTTTATTATTAATTGTTTTTGGCTTTTAACTAGGTTTCAGTAACTTCGAGTACTCTCAAATCGTACTTTCGTGTTAATTTGACCTGTTGACACAATTTGTAATGCATTTCTGTTAATCAATGTTTATTTTGTTTTATATATCGTCTTACTATTTTTAAAATGTACCACCTTTGATAATTATTTAGTATGACGAAAAAAAATCACTTCTGTATTCGTACTATGAATAACATATTTATTTTGTAAAAAATGTTTCTGTACTCCTAACAACAAAATTATTATATTTAAATTTATCTGTGTACGTTTCTTTATTTAACGGCATTTTGTCCTGGGTTAAAGTTGTCTTTTTGACATTGAAACATCTTTTTTTATTTATATTGTGTCATAGCTCAAACTTATTTGTTTAGTGTATATCTACTTGTTTTTGTGTAATTTGTCTTTTTGATCGAGTTAAGCCATTTTAATTGATATTTTATTGTGTGTCTTTTTATGTTGTAATGTTATACCAATTTTTTCAGGTAAGGGTGAAGGTTGGCGCCTGTTAAAACGTTTAAACCCGCTGCATTTTTATGCACCTGTCCTAAGTCAGGAGCCTGTTGTAAAGAGGTTGTCGTTTGTTGGTTTGGTTCATAAGTGTTTCTCGTTTCTCGTTTTTTATTTAGATTAGACTTAGACTTGGTTTACCTGTTTGAATTGTTTTACACTAGTCTTTTGGGGGCCCTTTATAGCTTGCTGTTCGGTGTGAGCCAAGGCTCCGTGTTGAAGGCCGTACGCGTACTTTGACCTATAATTGTTTACTTTTTACACATTGTGACTCGGATGGATAGTTGTCTCATTGGCACTCATATCACATCTTCTTATTTATATTACAAGGCATCACCGTCAAGTTGCTGATCAAATATGATGTCATACTGTTCGATGATAATGGAGAAATTTGCTCTTCAACTGTTTCGGTTTTTATACATCCTTGGCTTTCAAATATTCGGCTTTGAACGTTCCTGATGAAGTTAAATCCAGAAAAGCGCTTCGGACTCATTACATTTATAGTTTGTTGTTTTCGGTAAATTCGGTAAACAGGTACATGTAGCTGTCTGAAAGATCGAACGGATGGATGCATGAATAAACGGACAAGGCGTTAACAAATAGTCCCACTTCTAGAGCGGGGATATAGAGAGACAGCGACAAATCATCATAATGTACAGTTTTCAACATTAATGAGGTGACTATAAAAACAGTCATGCTCGAACAAATCTTCCCTCAACACTAAATTTTTTAAACACCAAATATAAATATATAAGGGAACAAGAAAATTTAACCAAAGCGAGGCTTCTGGCTTTAAGACACGCACTTATTATTTTGCGGGCTCAAAATATAATTTTTTTAAATCGAAAACTCACTTTGTATAACAATATACCGAACTCCACGGTACATTCAAAAAGGGAAGTTTTTTCACATGCTAACAAGTGAATTTTTATTTTAAATCTAAAAAATCCAATAATTGTTAAGTCTTAAAAAGGTACTCTCTAGCTCAGAAATATAGCCAATGCTACATTCCTAAAACACTATAAAACTCCACAAACTTTAGTATATAAACATAATGTCCAATGTGGGGGCTGATTTGGAAAAGTTTTAAAGTCAAAATATCCAGAAGAACTAAGCTATTAACGGAAAACGTAGTAAAAAGACAACACTTGACTGCAAAATCGGAGGCAATAAATTAGTTCAAATTAACGTTGATAAACTTTTGTTGTACTGTAAACGTGTCACGTCCTTATCATTGTAACCTCTATCTGTTATGCTAAATTTATATCGTCTATTAACTTGTACAGAATAGAATTCACCAAGAGCAGAGTAGCAGTGAAAATGTTTAAAGAATTGACTATCATTTCCTTGGTTGTTGTATCAATACATGCGGTAAGTTTCACTTTAGTATTTAAAAGCATCGGGGACAGACCCAGGACAGTAAAAAGTTTGGATGGAGCACAAGCAAAAAACAAAAAGGCAAAAAGCTACAAAAAGGCTAATTTTCTATGCATTATTCATTTATTATATTGCTGAACTTCATTGGGCCTAGAGAGTGGAAGGAGGAGTCTGGTCCTTCTAAACTAGGCCGCCATTGAGGGAGAAAATGGAGGTGACTGCGGATATATCGATAATTGATTGATTAATTGATTGATTGATTGATTGTTGCTCGCTTAACGTTTAGCAATGTAATTGTATGTTTATTGTTATAATTTATAAATCTATGATTTATTGATTTGTATGTATTGCTTTGGTCCGTATAGTCGTTATTAGCAAATAAAGTTTATTATTATATATGTGATTAACTTATTTGTAATATAATATTCGAAAAAAAAAGATCATTTGAATCTCTTGTTTCATCTGGTAATTAGTACACACGGATAAACCTATATGGGTAAGTGTATTAGGAGTATTTGCTAACAACTAACAGTGCAGCAAAAAAAAAAAAAAATTTTGACTAAAAAATCAAACGATAATTGATCAACATATGTATTTTCCAGAAGACAATGTGTAGACAAGATTCAGAATGTGCATCAGATGAATGTTGTTACTATCACGAAGGACCTATGATTGTCAGCAAGAGAGATGTGTTGCCATTTAATTCCATGCATCAAGGTAAAAAACAACTTCAGCCATAAGCTGAGTCGGTAGAAATAGAGATATGGAGCAACACGGGAGGAATATAGATTCGCCTTCCATTAGCCGATATTTTGTAACTCAATATCAATAAAAACAAATATTTATTTCATTTTAAAACTTGTTCAATAAATAAAAAAAGAACCGATTACAAATATGAATAAAAGCATTGGCAAATAAAAAAAAGTTTTATCGTACAAATAAACCAAGATGTGAGACATACATGAGACAGCAACTCAAGACTAAAACAATCACAAGACTTCGAAAGGCCTATACTACAATTTGATCAAGCTCTAAATCGTCCAGAGTTTATTATAGAAAAGTTGTGAATAAAATCAATTGTCTACCATTCACACCCTAAAATTTATTTAGATATACTACGTAATTTGGTCTCTTGTGGAGAGTTGTCTCATTGGCAATCACACGACATCTTCTTGTTGTACAGACAACCACTGATTACTTGCATTTGGACAGGCATATAAACATGAGGATTTGTAAAAGTATATTTTGTTTAGTTTTCAACTCCCCCCCCCCTTTAAATCTCGATCAGTGGATTATAAAAAGGTACATAATAGAGCTATAAATAAATAAGTACAGAAAAAGCACTTAACTGTATAACAACGGTATAATATAAAGCTAACAAAACACGAAAACAATCATAAACATCACCGTTTTACAGAATGCTCAATGTTACTTGAAGCAAGTTCAAACTCCTTTGCTGGCTAATAAGAAGTCATGTAGTCTTACATTGTAGTTTCGGCTGTAGTACTTTATCGGGGCCTCAGGACTTCAGAAAGCAATGTCATAAAAATATAGGATCCTGAGCAATGCCAAGAGTGTCTCTGATCTGTATGACATTTTAATACCAGAAAACAAAAGACACATTGAATCTTATTTTAAACTATAAATAAGGGAATTGAAGTAAAACACGAAAATATAAGAGGCAATGTTTGAATAATAAAAGTTTAATTATCCAATACGAAATATAGACCAAAGAGCATTTTGAAACTTGTTTGCGTTATAAATGATATAACCTCGAAAAGCTTTGTGTGAAATTATACTCTTTAACGAGCGTATATACTGGGAGGATTGGGGAATGTTACGGAGGCACATGCTTTGCTCGCGGATTTCGGTATTGTATCATACTTTTGCTAATGAATTCCTGCAGGTTGAACCATACTTCCTCAATAAATATCAATATAAAGTATAAAATTAAGTAAAACTTGTTTTATCCAATTATGTTCTATATAAACCTGTTGTAAACAAACTATTGATAAAGACAAATCCCACTTTCATTGAAACCTTAGACGCCAGTGAAAACACTCGCGCAGTTATCACAATTAAGAAAGGAATACTCCGTAAAAAGGAACAAAAGAAACTTCAAGGAAACAAACATTTACAATGGAAAAAGAAAATTCGTCCGGTGGCTATACATTTTTGTCTGTACTTTGCCATGAGAAATTCTAATATGAGATTTTTTTCTATTATTTCCATTTGTGTTCAAAGCAATGTAATTTAAATTGCAAACATCCTGCTCGACTTGACATTAAGTAAGCAATAATTAATCCACCATTAACTATCTTCTTGTTTCATATAAGAACTTTACCTCTTGATATAACATATTCAAGATATATATTTTCTTTCAGGTGGTTGGTGTGAGAAATATCTCGTTCAAGGAGCACGGTGTAGTCCATTTTCCAAAGTGAACGGACACTGTAGCTGTGGAAGTGGTCTTAAATGTACACGTTTTCCATACACAACTACATCATCTGTCGTTAAAAGAGGGCTTCTTCCCGGAGACTACCTCTGCGCACCAACTCCTTAAGCAGAAATAAAAAGATACTAGTACTGTAATTGGTTATTTCATATATTAGCATTTAATTACGCTAATCTTTTACTTTTAACTTTTAAAAATATAGTAAAAGTTTCACAATTTTTCAACACAACTGCAAAGTTGTACTTATATAAAAATAAGAAGATGTGATATGAGTGCCAATGAGAGAACTATCCACCAGAGTCCAAATGACATAGAAGTTACTAGCTATAGGTCACCGTACGGCGTCTTTCTGTGGAACATAATGGATGTACACCATTGACTATATTCATCAGCAGAGAGAAGCACTGTAAAACTCAAAATATTTGTGTTGCAAAGACAATACCTTCAGCAAATTATCACATTTTTTGGCACCACTTTGGTGTTTATGTATTTATTTCAAAATAATTAAAGTAGCCGGGGTGTCTTCCTCCATCTTGGATTTTGAAATTGCAGATAACAATCGGTCTAGATCTTTAATGAAATGTGCAAATTTCAAGTGTAGTATGTAATTCATGTGTAAGACTTTTCATGTTAATATAGAAAATTATGTGTTTTATCATATTTACGGCTGTATTTTACATAAAACAGAATATTTTTGTTTGATTCATATTTTTTTCAACTTTGCCACATAAAGGGAGATAATTCAGATATACGGTGAGATAACTCAGATAAAGTTATTTTTATAATATAATGTGTTGTGAATTTACCTTTTTTTATATGTAGCAATAAAACGAGTCCGTTGACCCCGAAAGCATATTATTAGAGCTATCTTCTCATATTCTATCTTAAAATTCTATAGTGCAGTATTCTTCAAATCACACAAAATTGGGTTTTCCATGCATAATCTATACAAAATCTGACAATTTTGCACAACCTGTAGCGTGAAAAAAAGCCCGGTGGCCCATACTTTTTATTATATTTTGGAAAAAAGCATGATAACTACATTTTGACAAATTATTAAAAAAGTGCTATGGATTTTAATTTAGACCCCCATCTACCTTAATAGACAAGCTAATGTGATAACTAATATTTTACATATGAGCCCTAATTAAATACAAAAAGATTATTAAAAATGAATTAAAAGAAACCAAAATATACAACGAAAACATTGACAGATATTAAAATAACCCTGTTCCATCACCCCAAACAAAAGAAAGGGAAATTGAGCATATGGTAATTTTAATGCAAATAAAAATTAGGAGATGTGGTATGATTTCCAAAGTGTATAAGCAACAACCAATGGCTTAAGACTGGCACATAAAGAATGAGGCGGCGTTAAACATGTTTTTGAACGCTCAACATTTCCCCTAACGTCAGACAGCAGCGCAACGGCACAGCATTAGAACAACCTAAAAAATACAGAGCCGCCGTAGAGTTGTTGCAATAATTCTTTAATCTGCAAAAAGCGTGCCACTCGCCCTAAACGAGGCATTGATTTAACATCCCTTATCCCGATTTTAAGTGGCTGCGTATTTGTACATATCAAACGCAGCGTAACAGACGCCACTATGGAACGCCACCACTGTCTTGTTATGCCCATTTTCATTATATGATGTGCATTTACCTTTATATGATGTGCACTTGTCATTATATGATGTGCAAACACCTTTATATAATGTGCAAATATCCTTATATGATGTGCAAATATCCTTATATGATGTTCAAACATCATTATATGATGTGCAAACATCATTATATGATGTGCAAACATCATTATATGATGTGCAAAAATACTTATATGATGTGCATATATACTTATATGATGTGCAAATATTCTTATATGATGTGCAAATGTACTTATATGATGTGCAAACATTCGTATATAATGTGCAAACATTCTTATATGATGTGCAAATATCCTTATATGATGTTCAAATATCCTTATATGATGTGCAAATATACTTATATGATGTGCAAATGTACTTATATGATGTGCAAAGATCCTTATATGATGTGCAAATATACTTATATGATGTGCAAATATACTTATATGATGTGCAAATATACTTATATGATGTGCAAATATACTTATATGATGTGCAAATATCCTTATATGATGTGCAAATATCCTTATATGATGTGCAAATATACTTATATGATGTGCAAATATCCTTATATATGATGTGCAAATATCCTTATATGATGTGCACTTGTCATTATATGATGTGCAAACACCTTTATATGATGTGCAAATATCCTTATATGATGTGCAAATATCCTTATATGATGTTCAAACATCATTATATGATGTGCAAACATCATTATATGCTGTACAAGCATACTTATATGATGTGCATATATACTTATATGATGTGCAAATATTCTTATATGATGTGCAAATGTACTTATATGATGTGCAAACATTCTAATATGATGTGCAAACATTCTTATATGATGTGCAAATATCCTTATATGATGTGCAAATTTACTTATATGATGTGCAAATGTACTTATATGATGTGCAAATATCCTTATATGATGTGCAAATATACTTATATGATGTGCAAATATCCTTATATGATGTGCAAATATCCTTATATTAAGTGCAAACATCTTTATATGAAGTGGTTGTGTCATTATATTATGTGCTTGTAATCTTACATGATGTGGTTCGGTTTTCTTCACTATATGATGTCGAAACGTCATTATATGATGTCCTTTCATCGTCGTTATTGTCAATGAACATGATTACGATTAGAATTATTACTGTATACGTCATAACTGATTCCGATCTGATTCTGCGGAGTAACTATACACCCGGCTCAAATCTGTAGCTAGCGCTAGCGAAAGTGCAATTTAAAGGAAAAACGAGACAATGCAATTTAACAAAAATCAACGTTTCAAACATTTCGGAGGAAGATTAAGATCAATTAATACAGGAGCTAGTTGAAGAAATTTCCGGCTGCGGCGAAAATATGATAAAACAAATTTTGGGGCTCTTTATAGCTTGCTTTTCGGTTTGAGCAAAGGCTCCGTGTTGAAAGTCGTACTCTAACCTATAATTGTTTACTTTTTACAAACTGTGACTTGGATGGAGAGTTGTCTCATTGGCACTCATACCACATCTTCTTATTTCTATTCATTGCAAAAGACACCGTCAGTTTTAAAAGTATTTCATAACAATAGCTATAAAATTATCTACTCATACATAATATGGCGAGATGGTTCGTTTTATAAAGTTTTATTGAATAATATAAATGGTAAGATGTATAATGTAATATTGAATATGTACAGTGATATTAAATCTAGAATATCATATAATGATTGTAATTCGGAATACCTTGCTTGTCACAATGGTCTACGACAAGGAGAAAACTAATCACCGTTAATATTTTCTTTACTTTTGAATGACTAAGAAAATTTCTTAGTCAGTAAAAATATTACAAGACTTAAAACTATAGCAGAAGATCTGGAAGGAGAATTAGAAATATATCTTAAGTTTTTTATCATATTGTACGCAGATGACACGGTTTTGTTGGCCGAAACAGCACATGACCTGCAGACTCAACTCAATGCCTTCCATGATTATTGTAAGGCTTTGAAATTGAAGGTAAACGTTGACAAAACCAATTTTCTTACAATAACACTAACATTGAGACAGTAAAGCAGTATAACTATTTGGGAATTGTTTTTACTAAAACAGGGAATTTTAATATGACAAACAAACATTTATCCGATAAGGCCTTAAAAGCCATATACGAAGTCCAGAGAATGGGAAGGATGTATCAGCTTTCTGTAAAATGTCAGCTTGATCTTTTTGACAAAAAAATCAAGCCCATTCTGTTGTATGGGTGCTAAGTATGGGGTTTTAGTAATAATGATACATTTGAAAAGATACATTTAAAATTCTGTAAATTACTTTTAAATCTGAAATCCTCAACACCAAGTTATATGGTTTACGGGGAACTAGGTCGCCATCCGGTCGACATAGATATAAAAGTTCGAGCAGTATTATTTTGGGCAAATTTGATATCCGGAAAACAAACAAAGTTTTAGTTTATATTATATTAACTTTCTCGCCATATGAACGGTCATCATAACATGCAGACTACATGGATTCTGTTTGTCAAAAAAAATATTTCAAAATTGTGATTTCTCATATATATTGGAAACACAAAATTTCATTAATAAAGACTGGTTAAAAACTGTTATAAAGCAAAGATTGTTAGACCAGTTTCTTCAGAATTGGAATTCGCTAATCCAAAATTCGTCAAAAGCTATTATCTACAATTTAAAAGAAAAACCGGGAATTTGAGAAATATTTTAATATTTTGAACTTTAAAGATGCCGTTGTTCTCTGTCGATTTCGAACGACTAATAACAAATTGCTTATTGAAACAGGAAGGTTGCAAAACGTATTTAGAGAAAACCGTTTTTTTGCAATCAATGTAATAATCGACAAATTGGAGACGAATATCGCTATATATTTGAATGTACTTTTTTCGATCAAAAACGTAAAGAGTATTTATCATCCTATTTTGTACAACGACATAATAGTAAATACAGTTAAATTCTCTGAACTTATGTCGAGTACTCGAAAACCAGTCCTGAAGAAGCTATGTTCATTTATAAAAAAATATAAACACGTGTGTTTGTCCTCCTGGCTTGTGACTTTTGTAACCTCTCTCCCTTGTTTTGTATATATTGTAAATAGTTATTGTTGTTATCTCTGTACTGATGTCATGCATTGGCTTAATGAGAATAAAGATATAGATATAGAATCCATAATTATACCGGTATGGATGATTGATTGATTAATTTGTTGATTGATTGTTGTTTAACGCTAATTTCAATACTATCATGCTATTTCGTGGCGATGAGTTTATTATTGGTAGAGGAAGCCGAAGTGCCCGGAGAGAACCACCGACCTTCGGTAGGAAAACTGGCAATTTTAGTCAATTAAGATTGGAGTCGAGCTTACCTGCTACGTGCGGGATTCGAACTCACAACCTAAGTGTTGACAGGCAAGTGATACAGTAGTTCGATTACTTAGACCACTCAGCCACCGAGCCGCCCCCCCTCCCCCG